ATAGATAGATAGATAGATAGATAGATAGATAAAAACAGTTTATAGATAGATAGATAGATAGATAGATAGATAGATAGATAGATAGATAGATAGATAGATAGATAGATAGATTAAAGCAGTTTATAGATAGATAGATAGATAGATAGATAGATAGATAGATAGATAGATAGATAGATAGATAGATAGATAGATAGATAGATAGATAGATAGATAGATAGATAGATAGATAGATAGATAGATTAATGCAGTTTGAAAAAGTATAGATAGTTTTGAGGTCACAAAGTTAGATCTATTGTTAAGTCAATGACAGTCTTTTGCAATAAAAGTCTATGGGGCAGTTGTTGCTAGGGTGCAGTATCTGGTAGTTAGGGTGTGGCTAGAAAGTTTAAAGCTCATCAGTTATTGGCAGTTTGGTAGTCTGAGTTAAATGAGTCCAGCTATTAGTCTGTAAGACAGTCTAATGCAGAGTTATGAGCTCACAAAGTTTGATCCCATGTTAAGTCAATGAGAGTCTTTTGAATGGAAGTCTATGGGACAGTTTCTAGGGTCCAAAAGTGGTTGCTAGGGCGTGGCCAGAAAGTTAAAACCTCATCAGTTATTGGCAGTTAGATAGTTTGAGTAAAATGAGCCCAGTTAGAAGTCTGTATGACAGTCTGATGCAGAGTTATGAGGTCACAAAGTTTGGTCCAATGTTAAGTCTATGGGATTTTTCCGACGGTCCCGGGACGTTTTTCGGAAAATCGAAAGTCGGATCAGTCGGAAAAGATATGGCATACCGAGTCAGAATAGTTTGGATGTCTGGTGTGAGTTTGGTGGTCATAGCTCGAAAGCTCTAGGAGGAGATAGATTTTGAATTTTAGTCTCAGAAGAAGAAGAATAATATATAAAAAAAATAATAAGTTTAAATAGGATTTCAGTAGTCTGGCTTGTTTCTCAAGCCAGCCTAATAATAAGTTTAGAAAGGATAACAGTAGTCTGGCTTTGACAAGCCAGCCTAATAAAGAGAAAAAGGTATAGAAATAAATAATATTACTTAAAGAAGGGAAGTCACATTAATGTCAGGCTTGATTTTGTTTTTAAACATTCTATTTCTTCCACAAAATAATTCCAAAACCATGTGTTTGCAATTAAAATTTAAAAAATAAAGTTGCACGTGATACTTCTGTGGTATTTCTGTGAGGGTAGTTTGCTTTAGAAGTTACATAATTTAGTCTTGACCTTGCATAAAAAGGGCAATTAGCAATCTTAAGATGAAGCTTGCTATGAAACTTGTACTCACTCCAAGCTTTTTAAAGGCTTAATCTACTTTCGCTTTCAGCCTTCTTGTAGAAAAATGATTAGCCTGATCATCTTGTTTGGCTGTCGTTCATAATCCAGGCCTCTGCTTGTAAATACTCACTGTTGACAACAGTTGTAGAAATTTTTTGGATGTTTGCAAGGGGATTCAGTCACACAGGCTGTCAGATTTTGCTCATAATGCCTTATGACCAAAAACTGGCGACTACTGAAAAGCTAAAAAAAAAAAAAAAAGTTCCTACCCAACAGCATACCCGATTTCGTGTTCAAGCACATGTCCATTTGAGTTGTGTGCTGAAATGGGGTGTTTCCAGAGAAACTGGCTGAACTGGAGATCTGCGGTTTGTGGTCTCCTCGTCATATAACTGTGGCCCTTCAATTGTGGTCACACATAAACAAGCTGTGCTAATGTCTGTGGACTGTTTTAACCACATTGGGTTTTCCCATGGCAAGACCACCGTAGCAAGACCAACTTAAACGTGCAAGACCACTCATACGTGTTCCTGTTTTTCATTTTTAAAGGCCACTTGACATTTTTGACAACACATTCTGTTATTTTATTTCTCTTAAAGGGCAAAACAGACACAGCTAAGACTTTTTTTTTTATCTCTGTGAGTCAAAAACCGCAGGTGTGATTCTGTTAAAGTGTGTGTTGGTGGTTTTTGCTGTGTGTGCAGCTGTGTGATAGGAAGTGTGTCTTTTCCTGATAACTGTATGCTTGTGCAGGGCTGTGAAAAGAAGGGATGTTGTGTGTATGACTTTTAAATTAGATATATAAGCATCAGTTTCAAAACAACAATGAGCTTTAGTCGTTGAGGGGCTTTTTGGGTGCTGAGACGATGAAACAATAAGCCACAATGCCAACGGTGCAGCGGAAACATGCTTTAGCGCAGTATTTTCAGTTTTTGTGCAGCTGTAACAGTGTCGGTTGTTGTTATTTTCTGGCCTGTTCACTCCATTGTTTTTACTTTCAGGCTACCAAAATGCTATTGTTTTATAAATGGACAGCCAGATTCTAAAAAGCTTTACAGTTTAAAAAACATAATGTAATGTTGAATGTTTTTAATTTTTATGTTTGGTTCTTTAAATACGCACAAGCTGCAGTTCTGAAGTCTTGGGTTGGTAGGATTTTCATTTACATAAAAAGTACTTTTTTTTTCTTTTGATCAAAAATAGAAATCATTTGATATAATAAACTGCTCCACAGTGTTCCTCATTTGTGGAACTTGTCATAGCTAAAAGCATTAACCAAACTAATGCATTTGGAGCGCTGATAAAATGTCTTATTTTTATGAATTTTAAAAACAGTTGTGCTGTTTGATATGTGGAAATGTAGTGTGTTTTTCTTGAACTTTAAAACAACAACATAGAATTAGATTTTTTTTAACATGATCAATTAGTTTTAATGAATTGAAAGGTGCAGTATGCAACTTTGAAACCCAGTGGTTGAACTTGGTATTGCACTCCTGGATCAAAACAAACGCAAGCGCAGGTTGTCAAATTGAGGACAGGAGCGAGTGGTTCAGACTGTGTTCTAAATAAAAGCAACGACACGTAATAGAAGGAATATTTTCCATATCAAAAGGAGTTTTTGTACTAACCGACACCCTGAATTGATATATTAGCAACGGCTTCTATTTCTCACAGGTGAACAACAGAAAATTATGACAATGATCACCTCAAGTAAACCTTGTGTGCTTTATTCAGTGTTAAATGCTAACAATGAGTTTGAATGCCATTTTATATGACATTTATTGCCACATACTGAAAGCAGCAGCAGGGAGTTTCAGATCTTGAAAATAAAATAAACCATTTAAAACTGAACTTTAGAATATGAATGATTCAGTATTTACTTTTAATAATGTTAATGAGGTTTAATATAAATTAATTAGATCATAAACCTTACAATTTTGTGAGTGCATATTATGTGCTTCTGAATGGCTGTATTTAAATTTCTGTCGTGTTCTGTCTGATACAAACAATCAGATTGCTTATCGCTGCATATCTCATCACAAAGCGTGTTGTTAGGTAAAGTGGTTACAATGTAACCTGCTCAACTAATGTCGCATTTCGGTCACGAGCACATGCTTTTAGAGCCTTTCTGAATGACCGAATAATGAAATATGAAGTTTTCCACCAATATAATTAATCAAACTGGCGTTGTGCAGGTTAAAATGACCAAAACAAACACAGCGTTCCGGCACGGAAAACACATTTTCAAAGCAGAATACCTGACTTCAGAATTGTTTTTCAGATACAAGTATGTTCACTTGGCTTGTTTCTTTAAAAGTCTGCAAACATATTATGGTATTTTTATGCTTTAGAAAAGTCAAAATCTTACATACAGCACCTTTATTGTTTATGGGGTAAATTAGCCAAAGCTATGAAAAGTTGTGTGTCTCAGTGTGTGTCTCAGTGTGTGTCTCAGTGTGTGTCTCAGTGTGTGTCTCAGTGTGTGTCTCAGTGTGTGTCTCACTGTGTGTCTCACTGTGTGTCTCACTGTGTGTCTCACTGTGTGTCTCACTGTGTGTCTCACTGTGTGTCTCACTGTGTCTATGTGTGTTATAAATATATAACGTGTAATATAAGTCTTTTCTGTGAAGTACTCAGACTCTGGCGAGCTTTGAGTACATCCAGCAGTGTCTGAAGTTCGACTGGGACATTCGCCTCATTCTCACCAAAAGGAGTTCTGTCAACATGGAGCTCGCCCGAACGGTAAAGCCAACACTGACACTAGATGGATTAGCCAGCCAAAAACATGCTTTTCTATTGTGGAACCTGCAGGAAACAGCTGTAGGAAACCTTATGTAGACATCTTAAAATCAACAAGCTTGTACTTAATTTTGGAAGTTCTCTACAAAACCTTGAGTTGCAGGCTTGAATTATGCTTATGATACATGGGGCTACTTTTTGAGCAATGTTATATTCAGGGCATATACTTCTTCCATATAGCAAATTGGGTAGAAATCTCTATCCCTTCTTAATGGGAAAGTAGCCAAGAAAAAAATCATTAGTGTGCAATGTGCAACCATGCTGAATGCAAAACATTTTTAGAAATGCAGTCTAGAGGTGCACTTCTCCATGCAGTTCCTGAAATGCCAGACCGTTCATATTGCGTCTGACACATCCACTGTACCATCATTTAGAGTACAATACATGTAATATGTTTGGTATGCGACCTTACACCGAGATCTTGTGCTTAAGGTGTTTTCCCAGAAACATACTACACCCATTTCCTTATTTTGGATTTGGTTCTGTAGAAGCATTTCCATTGAATCGTAGGCTCTGTTTACACCTGGAAGTATTAGCCTATATTTTCGTCAATCCATCAATCAAAAGTGGACAGTGGAGACCCCTATGGACGTGATTAAAAGCGGACAAGCTTAAAATGTTTACACTCTGTTCACACTTCTACTAAGCATTGTTCGCTTGATTGATGATTAATGAAACACATCTTAACACCAGGTGTGAACAGGGCCATAGTGTAAATGCTAATAATGTTTGAGTTTTTAAATGTTTGATTTATTGAAGCGATTTTGTTGTTGCTCGACAGACTGAGGATGATGATACTCCATCCACCATGAACCACAGTATTCTACTGCAAGAGAGGCCAATCAAACAGACTGTGACCAAGTGAGTAAAATGGAGGAGGTTTTGGGCTGTTGTGGTTTTAGCATTCATACTTTCTGATGAAAAAATCTTTTTTTGTGTGTGTGTAACAGGGAGGCACTGACACTTCTCCTAGACACTTTTCACAACGAGGCAGAGTCTTTTCTTTTATCAGAGGTGAGCTTGCTTTATTTGATGATCTGAACATAGTTTGATCATTTGTTAAAGTGAAAGTGTGCATGAAATATGGAAAAAAATATAACAAAGTGCGGAAATATTATTTCCAAACACGTTTATAAATGGGAATAAATGCTAAATATGAATACTATTTATCTATGTATTAATAATAATATTAAGATATATTATTGCAATATATATGTGAAATGTCTTAATTTGTAAATGTATACACACATTTTTTTCAATTCAATTTTAGTTTGTAACTCTTGTTTATTTATGATCCTTCTATAATTGTTATATTTTTGCATCAAAATGAAGTAGTGATGATTAAGTTAAACAGTGGGCGGGGGGGTCAATGTAGTGGGATTTTTGTATTTTCATTATTTTATTTTTATGATTAATTCTGTCCATCCTCCTAGCCTCTGATAATAGGATAAATAATATTAATAATAATAATAATAATAATAATAATATTAATTCCTTACATTTATATAGCGTTTTTTTTCTTGACACTCAAAGTGCTTTACACATCGGGGGGAATTTCCTCATCCACCCCCAGTGTGCAGCATCCACCTGGAGGGCGTGATGGCAGCCATATTGCGCCAGACTGCACACCAGCTGATTGTTGGAGAGGAGTGAAGAAGCCAATTATGATATGGGGATAATTAGGAGGGAATGATGGACAGGATGCCGAGGTTAAACCCCTACTCTTTTCAAAGGACATCCTGGAATTTTTAATGACCACAGATAGTCAGGACCTCTGTTTAACATCAGATCCTAAAGACTGTGCTCACTAAGCAGTATAGAGTCCCCTTCACTATACTGGGGCATTAGGACCTACACAGACCGCAGGTTGAGCACCCCCTACGGGTCTCGCTAACACCACTTTCGGCAGCAACCTAGCTTTTCCATGTGGTCTCCCATCCATTTACTGCCTTACTTAGCTGGAACCATCAAGTAACCATCTTAATTGATTTTTTTTTTTGTTAAATGTTTATATTTTGAAGAATGTTGAAAGGCAGTAGCCACAGTATGAAAAACAATACTATGGAAATCAATGGAGTTTCAACATTCTTCAAAAAATCGTTTTTTATGTCGAACAGAAGAAGAAAAATATTAGGAATTAATTGCAAATAAATGACAGAATAGACTCATACTCAACTTGATTATCCCATTTAACAAAACTATTAGTTTAAAATTTCAATTATGTTTATCGAAATTGTATTATAACTTTAAACACAATTTTTTTAAATGTCTTCATCCTTCTTTGTTTCAATATTATCTCGTTAATGGCTTTTTTTTTTGTTGTTGTCACTTGTAGGTGGAGTTGCCATTGCACGTGGAGCGTTTAGTGCAGTCTGTGAAGGCCTTGTGTACTTCACTAGCAGCTGTTGAAACACCTGACATCACTGCTGCCCTCAACCAGCTGCCAGCATGTCCCTGTAGACTACAGCCTAAAGTGCAGAAGGTAGTGCGCGTTCTAAGTCACTAACACAGCACGGGGAAATGTAGAAATCTGATAAGAATTGATGCACACTGCTGTTATTGATGGCCACTTTCTTTTGAGTGCAGCTGCAAACCTGCAAAGTTTGCTGCAGGTTTTAACTTCCTCAAATGATTAGTGCGTGATTTTGCTCAAACCACTAACCTTTAAAGTTGCTAGAAATATTCCACCCATGCTTTTTTTTTTTTTTAGCTATTATGAGTTTCACTTTTACTACACAACAGTTTGTTTGTCTCATTTTCTGGTATGCAATACTAATGTTATTGTATGTTTCCGTTTGCCTTTAAAGGATGTCAGTGTCTTGGCCAAGAAAGAAAACAGAGGTATGAAGATTCACTCTGGTTATAATGCTTTCACATACAACCAATGCTATTAGCAGTACTTATGATATTTGAAAATAGTAAAGCCATCAAAAAATTTACTGAAATGGAAGCATGAGATTAAGGTGATCACCAAAAATACTGAATAACTAATAAACACACAAACCAAATGAGTATGGAGTATGAGTGTTTCTACCAGGGAATAAAATCTAAAACAATCTTAATGTAATTGTGACTTTTTAATTTTGATTATATTCATCAATTTTAAGTTGATATCCTTGTATAAAGAAAATGGTGAGCTATAATTTGAGATCTAAACAATATAAATATAAGATATAAATTATGAGATCTAAACAAATGTAAAAAAGCAGAACTGAGAGATGGAAACTTAAGATAGTTTCCAATTCTGAAATTACATTTGTTCTTTTTTGCTTTTCTTTTTTCGATTCATTTTTTTTGTAAATTTTTTTACAATTGCATGTTTATAAATGTTAAAAATGTGATTTATAAAGTTCCAAAATTAAGTCAGAATTTTGAAATCAATTTTCTTTTAAGTTTTTTAAATCAATTTTACATATATATATGTAATATAGTAGTTATATGTTTGTTTGGTTAAAATAATATAAATAATGTTGTGCTTTATCATTTATATAACTACTTTACAGTTGCTTTTTATAATAAAATTAGTTTTAATTAAATTAAATTAGCTTTAATTAAATTAGTTTAATCCTAGTCAAATTCATATTTAATTTAGCAGACATTTTCATCCAAAGTGACTTACAAATGAGCAATCACACAAGTAGCAGTAGTGGGAGGCAAGCCTTGACATGAGGCCGATTGTCCCACCAGTGACGATATACAGCCATAATTCTCTGCGTTTTTACTACAGTTCGACAGCATAATCGTGCATATAAAAAAGAAAATCAAACTAGTAGAGTCTCAAAAGCTATTTTGTAAGAGGAACTACTTTCTTCAGCCATTAATTCACATCTGCAGCTGATGCAGCAGAAACCAATGCTACTTCACAAATGTCACTTTAGAGCTAGTATTTGAATGATTCTCTTGCGTAATGTCTAAAGTGATGACAAAAGAGGTGATTTTGCTGACATTCTTAGATTATAAGGCTGAACGGCATGAAATGCCATCAGTCTACAGAGACTTCCCAGTATTTCTGTTGCAGTCGGGAGATCACTATAATTATCCCACCAAAAAAAGCCAAAGCAGCAACAACACTACAAGATTATTGTTATGTTTGCCGTAATAAAAAACACTAAACACATGTGGGCATTTTTCTTTTTACTGAACTAGTTTGCAGTAACAAAAACTGAAAAAGAGTTGTACAAAGAGTGGCCAACACAAAATACACACGTTCCTAAAATGCGAGTTCCATCTCACACTCAAAACACTAATGTGCAATTATACAATATAAATAACGCACTACAACATACAAAAGAGAGAGATCGACTCAGTCAATAACCTCTTTAATAGTAGTTAAAAATTACGCTGTTTTTCTCTTCTAAGGGCTTATGCGGCCTCTGTCGCCATCTATTGGATAAACAACGTTAACCATCTTTGCTCCATGACAGGCTAAAATGACCACCAACGTGCTGTCTCTCAGATATTATAAATATTTAAAAATAGGCACTATCCTTGTAAATAAACTGCATAGTTGCAATCTAAACAACTCGACTAAAGCCTCAAAAGTTCATTATGTTGTCAACAGCTTCAATATTTGTCAAACTGTAGAGGGTCCTCTGCTTATTGCTGTATGTGGACGGAGTAATACACAAGGGTGAAGGGGCGACACGAGTGCTGTTATTTGCAGATTATCGCATGACTATCCGCCAATCAGATTCAAGAACCAGACAGAACTGTATAAATAACGATAAACAATCTTCAAATCACCATAACAGCATCAATATGTAGATTTTGTTGAAAACCAGATAGATCAGTGGTTACAAACTCCACAGCCCTGCATAGTTACGCTCCAACCACTTTCAATTCACACCTGTTTAAATACTCTAGTAGTCTTAAACTGTGGTCACTCTGGAGTTTGAGCATGCGAAATTCTGTCGTGTGCCGCTGCGAAAAGGGGCGGGATTAAACCAGATCATTGTACATTTAAAAAAAAAGCGAGCGATTGGTCCATGTTTTAAATTTCTGTCCAGAGAGGTCATGCTTTGATCCTGGATTGGTCTCGTGCAGTCAAGTGATGTGATTTCACAGGTCAGAGTTCACCAAGCTTGTACTTTGCAAAAACAAAACTGTGCAGAGCTGCTGCCCTCTAGGAATTAAGTTTGAGACCTATGAGATAGATAAATAATAAATAGGGAGTACTATTGTTTGGAGGATTGAGTGTTAACAAAATGGATGCATCTTTAGCTTAGTGTTAAGCAAGTCCATTTTTATCTTAATACACATTTATGTAATCACAGATCTAAGATCAGTTCAAACTTGACTGGCCTCTTCCTGTTGAGGACATATGCAAGTGTGTGGTGTTTGTTGGAGGATTGTGTTTATGTTGCATCCTGCAGCGAGGAAGCCTGTGATCTCAGATATGAGTAAACAGGAAGGATGAGGCCCATGTGTGAGGCAGGAGATAATATTAATGTCCCCCTTTTTAACTGTAACATTAGAAGGTGACATCCTACTAGGGCTAAATCCAGCTTTCAATGAGCAAAAAAGCACAAGATTTGAGAAGTAGAGTAAAGGGTTAATCAGAGTAAAGCATCTCAAAAAGTAGTGTAGATATTGATGATATTCAATATCAGAATTTGTGCGCAACTTATTGTTTTTCTCTATATTTATAGTGGCAATTGTCGAGAAGTTGACTGCAGCCATTTTGGATCTTGTGGAGCTGTACTGTAGTACCTTCAACGCTAATTTCCACACCATGCCACACAGCAGCAGATCCACAGCCCCAATTCAGGAAGCTGGCATGGTCACCAATGTGCTTTCCTTCAGTGTTTACGCCGCTCATCGGGTCCCCATCACGTGGGCTGCCAGGTATTACAATGTTTCTTGGTTTCGCCTCATCAGATTTTGGGAAATTTTAAATCTTATTTAACAAGGGTGCTTTATATTGATTAAAAGTTACAGCAGAGTCATAATGATACAAAAATCCTTTTGATTTTATCAGTTTATGACAAAATGTGTCAACCTTGTTCCTTTTGGTCGCCACATTAATAGATAAATTGGATTTATTGAAAACAAACTGTTTCAGATAACTTTTGTGAAAAATCGGCACTGAATAATCATGGTAAAATTCTATCATAGTCTTTTTTTTGTATATGGGAAAACATTTAAGCAGGGTAGTAATGTACTGTCATTTGACTTTGCATATAAGTCACAGTTCCCATGAAATGCCAAGTAAAACAACTGTTTTCAGTATTGTTTACAAGTAATTACAGTGCTCAGCATAACTGAGTACATTCATTGATTTGAAAATGAATATTTTGATCCATTTCTCAGTGAATATAGGCAATGTATTTTGGTGCATTTAAACCAAACAGATTTATTAAACAGATATATTTATTAAATTAACATTTTAGTCGCCAAACATATTTAGAAATTGATAGATAATTCAATTAAATTCAAGCAAAATATTGCAAAAAATTACAATCTACAAAATTTAAACTACATTTGTCAATTTTCTTGCCTCTTGTTTTTTTTCCTCTTTTTAAAATTTGTATTTAATATTATTCTATAACATACATTTGGGTGTGCTAGTGGACCGGTATCGTAAGTTATTTTGTTGGATAAGCTCCAGATTTGGCTTCAGTACTGACTAATCTAATGTATATGCACATATATAATATTGGATAGCTTCCTATTAAACATATGAACTTAAAAGATAGATTTGTGGGGGCTGTACTTGTATATGCTATGCACTGTATATTACAGTTATTAGTGCTAAATATTTTACAATTTATTTTAATATTTCACAGTACTACAGTTTGTGTTTTTATCCAATAAATGCAGCGTCGAGTGAGTATAAGCACTTGTGAAGATGGCAAACATTGAATATGAAAGGAGCTTGGGCTGTCATTTTGAATGAGATCAGATTTGCAGCAGTGCACATTCTCATGTTTGTTTTGCAGACACAAACCTATTAAGAATCAGGACTGACAGGTTTTTCTGTCAAGACTTTATGGTATCGTCTTACATGCTGTTTGCTTCATTTCTGCAAACAAAAAACTGAAAGTAGGAAAATATTTAAAAGCAAATAACATTCGAGAAGCATCTTTTCGGCAAAACATTGATTAATAAAAAAATTATAATTATGGTCCTGGATCTTGGCCTAGTTTTAATATCAGATTCAGTAGCGTTTAAAACATGTAGTAGTAGGATTTGGACTAATTTTTGTTCAAAATTACACCACACCAATTTGTTCTTCGATTTTAAGCTTGTAAATTTGTGTCTTTTTTTTAAATCCACTTTTTTTTCCAATGTATTTTTATCATTTATTATTTGAGTTTTTCCTTTTTATTGTTGAACACAAAAGAAGATATTTTGAATGTGATATTTTGGTATTTGGAAATTTGTAGCCATTGATTTCTGTAGTATTTTTTGATTTGTCTTTTGGATAAGACGTTAAACCAAGGTTTTCACTCTCTGTGGCCATTAAAAGTCCCATGGCACTTCTTGTAAAGAGTAGCGATGTGACCCCCGTCTCCTGGCCAAATCTCCTCCATTGGCCCTTAACCATCATGGCCTAGCACTCATCCCTATCCACCGAATTGGCTCTGTCACTGTCTCTCCACTCCACCAATAGCTGGTGTGTGGCAAGCGCACTGCCACTGTTGTCCTGTGGCTGCCGTCACATCATCCAAGTGGATGCTGCACACTGGTGGTGGTGTGGAGAGACCTAACTCATGATTATGACCATACACGATAAATGCGCTCTATAAATACACATTACATTTTTGGGGAATAAGGATGTCAATGAATACCTTTTTTCAAATGATCTTTAACAGAAAAACAAAGCTCCTAAATGTTTGGGAAGTAAGCCGTAAAAAAAAGAAAAGTGTTGCTTTTTTTCTCTCTTTAAATCATGAGGTCAACAGAAATTAGACCACAGGAAAAGTTGAATATTATGGAAATGATGGTTTGAGAGATGCAGCTGTACACCATCTGTCCACATTGCTGATCCCCTTCAGTAATCCAGCAGGATTATTTGGCATTGCGTTGCACAGAGAGACCTCTCGAGATCCACATTCCCTCATTTCGCACTCCTCTCCGTCCCAACCCAGAATTGCCGGCGTGGAGAGACAGATGCTGGCCAGCCCTAAATGTCAGCACACCTCGCCCAGTCGTTCAGTGATCAACTCATTCGGGCTCTTTCCCTCCCCCGCTCAGCATAGGAATGGTCTCTCCCTCCATTGACCTGCTCTTTGTTTCCCTCTGAAACTGATGCTGAGTGTGGAGCGAGTCTTTACAATGGGGTGTGTATGGGAACTCGGCATCACCTTTGACCTCTAGAGGCCAGGCGGAGGGCAGGCCAGGCACCTGTGCAGTGGTGACGGGACGGCTGGCGCTCTCTTGCGTCCCATCTGCTTTGGGCAATTAGAGTCAATCAGAAGGGGCTGATCTAAAAGTTCTGTTCTGCTGTAGGACTTTAGACTGTAGGCAGGGATCTTTTAATTGCGAAGTTTCATGTTTTTGTGCTCGCTGTTTGCTTCATTTCTGCAAACAAAATATTGAAGTAGCAAAATATTCAAAAGCAAATCACATTTGAGAAAACTCTTTCAGCAAAACAAGGATTTATCAGGAAAAATAATTACCATCTTGGCCTAGTTTTAACTTTGCAGGGTCTCCGCAAGGTCTTAATAGTTGATAAATCAATTATGAGAAAATGAAGGCCCTTAAAAGCTATTAAAGAGCCTTAATAACGTTTTTAAGAGTTCTTAAATTTTGTTCAATTGTTGTCCAAAGTGTTTGACTCCAAAAAAGCATAAATATATTTATTTTCCTCGTAATATTAACAACAGCATGCTCGAGCCATGAGGTTGGTTCTGGCCAGGGCGGGTTCACCCAAGCTCCTCCGTCTGGGTAATGTCATGTGACGTAATATGACGCTCTCCACATGTAGCGAAACCATATAGCGAAATGCATGGCAACATGGAAAAATGTAGGTTTGCATACTTCTGGTTGGAGAAAGACGAGTTTAAACAGTGGCTGAAGCCTGTCACCGAAAACAACAGTGAAATTAATTCTTTCAAGTTTTGTTTCTTCCGAGCTCATCTGAGTTCTGTTGCATGGTTGTGCTCCATTGATTTATTTAACTACAACTGTTTATTAAGTTAAAGGTTTGATGCTGATTAGAACTTGAAGTGGCGATAAGATCTTAAAACATTCTGAGAAGGTCTTTCAAAAGTCTTAAAAAGATTTTGAAATTACCTTTAGGATTCCCGCATATACCTTGTTTAAAATTAGGTAGCATTTTGGAATCTCTGCTCTTAAATATTGGCCTGATTTTGAATGAGTTTCATGTTTTGTCATTGAATGCATGTTTCTATTCTGGAGGGCATGAAAACAGGCTCTTCAAGCTCTAGAGCTTTGTTGATACTCGCCTCCTATAGTAAAACTGTGGTTAGAACCGGCCAATTTGTTTAAGTCTAATTTGGCCTACAAACACCACAGACATGCAAACATGATACACTGTAAATGTGAAGTTAAATTAAGTTAGCTTAAGTTCATATTTATGTTACATTAAAAGAGCACTCCACCTTGAAAAGATTCCTAGAGTTAAACTGTTAACTCAAACAAGTTTTTTAATCCATTTAGCCAATTTCTTGTTCTGGTGGGGTCACATTTTTTCTCAGTTTAACCCAAAGTGACTTGTTAAAGGAGGAAAAAAAGGTTTTCGTGCTAATTAACAATTTTGAAGTAGTCTAAGTGCAGAGTGTATGTGTGAGCCCAATGCAGGAGTGCTTTAAAGCAATGCAGTTTAACACTAGCATATTGCTTTATTCTTATCAATGACACACATTCAGTATTAATCCACACAGTGACAAAAGCTGAACTATTTTGAAACGTGACCAGTGCATGTGTGTAGTAACAGCTGACGGTGGCCTTAGCAATGACAAACAGCAGTGGATCGCGAGCTCAAAAACGCATTTAAATCCGTTAACAAAGCGGCACGCGTTGCGTTTTTAACGTGGTTTTAGACGCGATATAAGAATATTAAAAGTTAACCTGATACAGTACAAGCGGTTACAAGTAACAAAACACTTACAACACAATTAAATACATAATTTGCAAGCTAGAAAAACGAGATGGTAACCATAAAGTAACTGATCCATGAACTGTGTACTGTAAAGTTCCTGTCAAGCACTGACAAAGTCCCTTACATCAATAGTCCTACCAAATGGCTGACGAATCCCCCACTACAAGCATATAGGTTGCTAAAGCGCTCGTCAGAAAAATGATGGGAACACGGCACAAGTTTGGACTATGATGCTGAGGTATTTTTGCAAAAATAAACTTCAACCACTGACTCTTCACAGCCTCATCTTTGGGTAGGGAAAATAACACTAACTTTCCCTCACATCTCAGAGCCCAGTGTCTATGCGACTTGATTCATCTGCTACAGTGTTTGTCTTCCTGTACAGTTTTCCTTCTACAGTGTTTGTGGGTGGGGCCGGGGTTTTAAGTTTTTCCCTGGTCTTTGCGCACAACAAATGGGCGGGGTTTGAGTTCCATATCAACTTCACGCTGGCATGGCTAAAGACTCGTTACAATGGCAATTCATTCGAACCACTCTGAAATGACTCTTTTATAGATGAATCAATAGTTTTAAACATGGCACACTTTCAGATTTAAGCCTTAGCTGGATACTTTACTTCACTTCACGTGCATTGAGTTTGATTTATAAAATTCACAAATGGTTTAATTTTTAATAGCCGTATTTCCTGGAAAATAACTAGCAACAATATAAGGGTGTACTTGCACTATGCTATCTGAACCATGCCCAGGCCCGTTTCCCAGATCGTTTGAGAAGTGTGAGTGCTCTGAATCAGGCTCAGGCGCGGTTCATTTGGCTGGCCCTGGCCCGGTTGGAAGAGGTGTGCCAGAGCGTGGTTCACTTGGGGTCAGCGAAACTGAAGACACAAGGTGAATTTTAAGGGATGGTTTCATATGGATTTATTAATCATTCTTACTGTTCAATGAATGCAAACTATCATAGATTATTCAAGACACAAACTTTATGATTGTTTTATGAGCGTCAAAAGTGGCTGATCTGTTTGGCTAAATCTTTGACCGTGTCTCACAGCATCCCAAACAACTAAAACGATATAACTAAACAAATTTCCGCTGTGCTGAGCGAGAGCGTTTCATTACTGAACAGCGCATCATCGATGACGTAAGCGTGCTTAGGCGTAAATGCAATGTGAGTGCGGGCCATCGGGGACGGGATGGGGACAAGCATGCTTCGGCCCGGTTCAAGGCAACTGTACATAGTATGAGTACACTCTAGGTGTCACCAGGCCAAAATTGCATTACAGAAAAATAAAATATATTAAGTTACATCTGGTATGTTGAACTAATGTAAATAAAATGAAAAATGAAAAAAAGAAAAAAAACCTTTACAAACATTGTAACCATGTATTTAGTTTTAGTCAATCCACAACAAATACTTTAACGAATCTTACAAACTCGTCTCCTTATTTGACACTAAATCAAAGGGATTGTGTGCTTTGTGCATATTTTGCTAAATGTTAATTATAATATGATGTGGTGTTTCAGAAGTCAGCTTTCAGATGATAAAAATCATTATTCTGTAGGATATACTAATGAAAAATAACAATAAGATCATAAAATTGTAAAAAAAATATTAATAATAAAAGAGAGAAGCTTTAAGGGCTCCCTGTGGTTTTCCTGCCATTTATCTAATAGTAATTTTAAGGAAACAATAACCATGGTGCTTTTACTCTGGAGTGTTTTTCAGAATCCTCTGATCAGTATTAGGATTAGCAGCATTAGTATTGCACTCACATGTTTTTTCTTCCCTCTCTGGTATTTCATTTAGCTTGGGAATGTTTTTACTTCTATTTAAATCAGTCTCGGGAGAGTTCATTTTCCTTTTAAGAGTCTCTATAAGTGCTTAAATTGAAGCTGAATGATGTGGGAGAACATCGTATAATGTTGGGATTAGGAGAGACGAGCTGGGGAAAAAAGGTGGCGGAGTTTCTGCAATCATTAACCAAGCTCACGAACACTATATATAAAAGCATGTCTGCATTAGTAAAGACTCAAGTTTTCTAAAGCTTTAGGAAGACTTTTTTTCACTTTTGATTTCAAAACAATGTTTGTTAAAAGTGACTTGCTTGTTTTTTTTGTTTTTTTTTTGCCAAATTTATTTATTAATATTTTGTGCTGATACAATAGCATAGACTTACAAAAATAAGTAAAACACTGTTCTGCTTTTTCACAACTAAGAACAAATGACCATGAAAACAATATAGTTAATAAAAAACACATTAAATGTAAATAAATAAATAACAATAAACTAACAATAAAAGTTTTTTCCCCTTCTGCTTCAATATCAATAGTGTTAATATAATTCTGTAATTTTGTAAAAAGATTTCAAAGACCCTCCTAATGAAAACAAACAAAAAAAGTATTTTATCCATCTGTCATATAAAGGTGGAGATGTTTGTTGCCACTTATAGAGAATAAGCCTCCTAGCCACTAATGTGGTGAAAGCAACAACATTCTGTACTGTTAAAGGCAAATTTGGCCTAAACAGAATTCTGAATAGTGCTGTTAGAGAGTTTGGAATGGCTGATATGTTTGTTTCTTTAAAAGAATCAATCATTTTAGATCAAAAAACTGTCAAACTTGGACAAGACCAAAACGTGTGTGTGATTTGCTGCAGATTGTTGACATCTATTACAAGTATTACTTCTATTTGGGTATATTTTGGGTAAATTAGCACTAGTGTAGTGTGCTCTGTGAAAAATCTTGCATTCCATTTAAACTGTATCGAGCACTTGTGAAGAACTATGTACAAAATAGAGTATATAATCCCATTCTATTTCACTGATCCCTAACTCTTATTACCAAATATTCTTAGGTAATTCAGAGGAATTAGAATTAAAATAATTTATTGACAGATAGATGATGGAGACTAAAAGGACCATTAAAAAAAAAAATGTTATCATGGTGAATAGTTTGTTTTATAATATTTAATTGTATTTTTTATCAGTTTATTTGATTTTATTGTAATATTTTAGATTTTATTATATTTATTTTATCCTGTTTATTCATTTCTTTGGACTGCTAATTGGTATTACTATAAACAAATCATAGCTATATACAAAATAGTTTTTGCTATGGGGATAGTTTCAGCTGTGACATGGTTTTCTCATGGTCAAACATTTTTTTGTGCCTCTCTTAATCATGCATAGTCTTCCGAGAAATCAGTGCTTTTAAGATTATTTAAATATTAAAAGATTCAGTCCCCCCAAAATGAAAAGACTTCTCATTTATTCAGTATTCAAATTACTTTATTCTCTGAAACATTGATGGAAGTTTTTTGTGGTCACTAACTTGAATGTAGTTCTTGAATGTAAATGGAACTACACCAAAATCACCAGCACGGCGTCCTAAATGCACTCATGACTTGTAAAATTCGAAGTCTTCTGAAGTCTTATTGTTGATATAAATGGGGAACAGACTTCTTTTTAAAGTTTTCACAAAACAAATTATGACATTGCAGTCTTTACCAGATTTATTCAGAGAAACGGCAACATCTGGTTTGTGAATGAATTGTTCTTTAGAGTCAGATCTCTATATTTTTTGATGATTCAGAAGATCAAGTACTTTAAACCAGGCTGAATGAATAATTCACACGTCTGACTGATCTGTTTTCCAAAATCAGCTCAATTTGTTCATTACGGTTAGCAGTTTTCCATTGATCAGTGTCTTGGCTTCTGTTAGATCTAACATTTTGCTGATCTCACCCTCTTTTTCTGCTCTCTCTCTTGAACAAAAACACACCTACAGCTATGAAAATTTCTTCCTGTCCTGTTCTCTCACCCATGGCGGCGTGGAGCTTTGTGCCCCTCAACACACCAGTAAACAGTCGGTCAGCAAATATCTCTTCCACCTGGTGGTGTGGGACCAGAGGTGAGCCTGATGCCAATTTACATGCTTCACAGTACAATGAATACATCTACTTTGCATTGTCGAAAAAATAAAAATGGCCTAATGTTTGAGCTTGTTAGTTTACTTCAGATGTCAACTTCGAGAATAGCTCGCCCAACTCCACTTCCTGTGGCTGTTTTTGCACTTCTTACTGTAGAGTTTAGGTATTGTTCTGGGATATTTTAGTGCGCAATTGTCATTTATTTCCTTTTTCCTGTTGAACATATATTTAGGTTCATGTATGTAGGTGTGTATATGCATTATTATAGCTCCAAGTGTAGGTGTTAAAAAAGGTGGTATTTGTGTTCTTAATTCTAAATTTGCCTGTTGTGGAGGCCATTTTGCTATTTGGAAAGTGTGATTCTGACTGCTATTATTTTAATCTCTTTTTTTTTCCACAACAGAGTTTGCTTCCCTGTTCAGATCAACCAGTTGCCGAGGGAGTCACAGCTGACAGTTACGTTGTATGCCACCCCTTTACCACCCCCTGGAGGAGCGGAGGAGAAGAGCAAGCAGAAACGCAGCATTGAATCTTTGGGTTGGGTCACCATGCCTTTATTCAACTTTAGACAGTAAGCATCTGCTTTTATTTAAATATTTTAGCTCTCAGATTTTTCTGTGTAAATTAATGATGTCATTACAGGTGCATTAAGTAGTATTTGAATAATGATTTTGACCAAAGTGTCAGACCAAGCCCCAAAACACACTTGCAGCCAATCAGCTGTTAGAGGCGGGTCTATTAATAGTCTCAAAAGGTGCGTTCAACTTGAACCACGGCTGCAGCCGGTGATCAAGATAAGTCGAGCGCAGGCAGGGGCGGAGTTCAGGGCTTAAAGTTGCAGCAGTTATAATGACTAATCACAGGGCGTCATCATTTATTTTATTATTTTTTTATTTATAACAACAAAAGATGTACTGTGTATATATAAAAAAGAATACAGTCTCTACAAACTATAGTTCATTTTAAACTACAAGTGGATTCTGAATTAAATATGAATTAAATATATATTATATTTATTTACATTTATAGATATAATACTTTTCAATATACATTAGTGTAAAACCTAAACGAAGGTGTTTTTATTGGGTCTTAAACAATGATTAAGTTTATTTTGGATAATGAAAGCATTTTCAAAAAAGCACTTTAATTCAAAAAGATTGAACAAAAGGACAGTTCTAAAATAAGTGAGCTACACTTTAAGTAGAAGAAAGAGCAGGTACATCAATTCAACTTTTAAAGTTTGTGCATAAACGGCTTGACAGGAATTTATTTTTATAATCATATTTAATAAAATAGTTCTTTAATTGGTTGAAACCTTTAAGGGCGTCATGATCAATGGTGATGATTATTTTATTACAAGTCTGTAAGACTTATTTGAGTTAATAGTTAGGTTATTCACTAAAATATATAATTTAAATGAATTCAGTAAATGGCTGTATAAAGAGTCTAAAATAAACCTATGCATCAATCTATCATTTATAAACAAATTATTTAACAAAAATGATACTTGTAGTCTTTTAATAAGCATGATGTAAACAAGACAGAGATGGCTATAAAAAGTTAATTGTTTGTTTTAAAATTTGTGAAATGGAATCCAATATGGTTGTTGCCATGAGCTGAACTCAGCCAATCGTTTATTATCGGTGTCATCATCGCAGCTCCTGCAGTCGCTCTTCAGATGCTGCACTGACTAAGTCTGCTGTCAGATCTCGGAGCGCTGTCGCGATGCTTTGATGCCACATGTGACAGTCATATGGTGTCTGCATAGCCGGATAAGTTCTAACCAGCATGCACTGCTTTAAGACAGATTTCGATTGGTCTGCGCAGCACTGCATGAAGTTGAACGCACCTAAAAATACCAAAAACAGGCGCGGTCTTGTTGTGGTGTGAGTTGTGCTTGTTTTGAAGTTTTCAAATAGCTGAAAATGAACTGTTTAATGCATCTTAAATGATAATTGCATGAATTCAATCATACTGGAGGGCATGAAAACAGGCTCTTTAAGCACTAGAGCTTTGTTGATACTCACCTCCTATAGTAAACCAGTTGTGGTGATTAGAACAGGCTGACTTCTGCAAGTCTGATGCGGCCTACTAACACCACACACATGCAAACAGTTTTTTTTATTTATTTATTTATTATTTATTTATTTGCCCAGAGCAAATGCGTGAGGGCAGGTCTGTGCCTGATCAGAATTGCGCAACTGGATTATGCAGAACACTCACATGAAAAAAACAAACAAACAGGAAAGAGCGGATGAAGGGGATGATGCCGTCTACCACTTCAGAAGCGTTTACAGACGAATTAATATCAAAGAAAAACAGCACGATGGTAATATGGGAATATTTTGGTTTCAAAGTCAAAGACACCGAACAAAAACAGGTGATTTGTAAGAGCTGTCGCAGAAATGTTGACACATGAAGTGGAAATAGAACAACCATCACCTAAAAAAACACCACAGGCGGCTATATGAGGAGGGTCTTGCAAAAAAATTCATCTGATAGTATTGCCAATGACACTCAATCTTGTAAATGTTGGGAGTAAGTTAATATCTTTTCAGTTTCTTTTTTTAACGAACCTTCGCTGCAGTAAGAAGCTATGATACAGATTATTGAGCTGAATCTTGACTTTAAAATTAAATCGCAGTATCTGTCAAAAAAAAAATCACAATTAGATAGTTTCCTTAAATCGCACAGCCCTTCTCTTAACTGTCAAACACCTTTTAAAATGCTTTTTCTGATGCGAAAAATGGAAAATAATTAACCCGGTTTTAATTTGTTTGACAGATGTAAGTTAAGAAGGCAGCGTGTTTATACGACTGACACAACGTGAGGTGTAATTTATTTTTTAACGTGCGAAAATTATGGACTAAAATTTTGAATTTGGTGTGCAATACCAATTCAAATTATTCAAACGATTCAGTTTTGTTTCCAAGGAGGTGAAAGGCAGATGTTTATATATCAAACATTTTTTGTTTTGTCTTATGTTGGAGCTGAATAACATAAAATACATGTATATACATAAAGTACACATTTAAGATTCCAAAATCGTAATTCATATGAACCTACTTTCTATTTCACTTTTTAGAAATCTCTTCCTTTTAGAAGCATCAGAGTTTTCAGTACAATGACAGAAATATCTCTTATTTTGGTTAAAGGCAACATGGGGATGAATTAATAATCATAGAATTTCTGCTTTATGGTATCTATCACTTTTAAAAATATCTAATTTATAAGAAGGAAGTTAACTGATCATTAAAACGAACTCAAATGCACGTCAGAGTCCAAATAATTAACTATACATCTTAGTAACATGCCATACTTATATTTTTTTCTACTTCAGAAAGTGTTAACTGCCGTAATATTTACTCAACAGCCAGGCTTACGTTGTGTAAAGATGTTCTTTAATTCTTAGGAAGGTTGACTTGTTTGCTTTAGGATCTGTTTGCTGGATTAATATTGTATTACTTGGGAAAAAATATTTATCTTTGCTTCCAAGATAAGTTCAGAAATGAACTCAGCAGGTCAAGTACGTATGTATTTATACTCCATCTTTGTCCACATCCTGTTGTTGCTTGTTTCTATGCATCCATAAAAGGATGTTAGGTGTTTTCTGACCTCGTTTTTTCCTCTTCCTTTAGTGTTCTGACCTGTGGGAGGAAGCTGCTGGGTCTCTGGCCTTCAACTCCAGGCAGTGGAAATGCTCGCTCCAGTACACCAAACTTCAGCCAGCCTGACAGCGTCATCCTACAGGTTCGGCTTTTTGCTTTTGTGTAATCATAGAGTAAAATGTTTCCTGCTTGTCCTACTTTATAATCTATGACAGTCAACACTGACTCGCCTACAGTTTCAGTAAACTCGCATTTACTCTTCACTCATTTTCTTTCACTCATCTCCTCTTGTATTTTGGTTGATCTGGGTCTGTATTCACAAAACATTTTACCTTACTACTAAGAGTTTTTTTTAAATGCAGTAAATGATTTAAGATTTATTTTCTCTTAAAAAAAGCTCTTCACAAAGCTGCTGAGACTAACTTTCAGTAAGCAGTAGAGAGCAGTCTTAAGCTAAGGGTAAGGGCAGGGTTGTCCTATGGATTATGTCAGCATGTTTGCTAACAATGGGCATAAAGATTGGCTGATGGGGAAGGGGATTCTGTCAGATTTATTAATGGAAATTTTGTAGAGCAGGAAATTCGAATAAAGATTATAAAATCCAGGCTAAGGAAAGGGTTACATTCGTATGCCTCATTCAGATTAGCAGCACCTCTGCCTGTCGCTCTTGGTGGTGATCTGCTGCAAACACAGGTCTGTGTAGATATATACGACACGAATACAACCGCCCTCTGAGAGAGGATCACGTGAGCTCAACTGGTGCTCCTATAGGCTGTCGCTCAAGAAAGTCACTCTTCATTAGCATATATTTGAAGGATTCTCAACTTTGTTGTGTCACTGGACACCCCACCTGATCACCAATGGTTGCCTTGTAGACTGAGGTTGCTGAAAGTTGCTCGCTCTCCATTGAAATAAACAGTCGCTTGTCGCTTTGTCTATGCGAGTCGCTTGTTGTGTAAATGAGACTTAAATGCGTGCCCTTTGCTTTTAGAGATTTAGATATAATTTTTTTTTTACTTATAAGTTAATAATTAGACAAATAAATTTCTTTAATATTTGAAAATGTTTTGAAAATATAATAAAAATGGCTTAATGTGTATTTCTAAAATGTATATTTGCATAAATATATATATTTTGGCTGTTGTTGAGAAAAAAAAGAGTATTTGTCTTCCATGATTAAGGTAAAAACTTTTTAAAATCTCATTGTGTTCATTTTCAAGCCATCTTCATCTTTTAGGAGCCATCTTCTATACTCCTTGCATTTTTCAAATTTAGGAGCTAGTTTTAGTGCTAAAACCATAGAATGTAAAAGAAATGGATGTAGTATCCGTGACAACACCCATAGGTTTCTGAAGAGCACAAATGAAGCTACGAGTCATCATCGATCCCACCAGGGGTTACCAAAAAAGGGCAAAGAGGCGGAGCATCAGAGGAGCTACAGATGCCTGCTAGCATTTTGCTTAGACAGGCTTTTCTTTGGGAGAAACTCTTCATATTACCTGCAACTTGTTTGTGTTTCGACCACATGAACTTGGTTGTATACTATATCAATAAAGTGTTTAGACTTTTAAAAACGCTGTTGTAATGCAGGAAAACGTAAATTACTTCCATAACCTTTAAATATAGTCTGTGTTAGTAAATGCAAGGCTATTTCTGAAATCCAGGCATAACACTGTATGACAGCATTTCTGATGACTGTTTTATAGCCTACAGCTAATCAATCTGTCAGATTCTGTAGTGCTTTCAAGTTCTAAAGAAAATTATATATCATAAATTATCTTAAACAAATACATTTATAGAGCTGGTATACAAGTATATAATTTGACTCACCTTGGAAATGGAGGCAATTTGAATGGTTTGTGAGCAAAAGAAAGTGCACACGGCATGCCATATTGTCTGATAACTGTAGGAAATAATTCCAAAAGGTAATTTACTTGTGTATTGTGTATGCTAAATTTAGTATTACAATCAGTTAACATCTGGAGTTCTTGGAGCCAACCCCCAAAGGCCAGTCAATGAATTGCAGTTTCAGTTACTTTTGTATTGGCTTCACTAGGTAGAGCGGGATGTTGCCGCTTGGCTAAAACACTTTGTAAAATAGAGCAAAAATGTAGGAGTTGTAAATTGAAGACTGATGCCCATTATTTTTTTTCTCATAAATCAGCAAGGAGATTCTTTTAGATCTTTCTTTGAGATTAATGTTTTGTTAATAACAGACTGTGTGTTTTATTTAATGTCACTTTCATTTTTTTTCTAACATCATTTATTTAAAAAGTCACTAATCGTTACTTTTAGGGAAAAGTGCACTGGAAAATGTTAAAATGTGAAAGTTTATAAAAAGGAAGAATATATTTTTGAGTGCATGTCTGGATAGATTATATTTGACGGAGTATAATGAAAGTTATGTTCAGCGCTTGGCTCATAAATTGGGCGGTAATAGGGTCGGGCCAGCGTGCTAGTGGAAATATAAGGAAGGAACTGTCCTGCTTCTCGCAAAATGTTCTAAAAGTAGGTCAGATAGCTCTGCAGAGAGAGAGAGAAAGAGAGAAAGATGGATGCAGAAGTATTACTTTTAAATTCATATAAACAGCCCAGAGCAAAATGCAATGCTCAGGAAATATTCTGACAGCACAAAACTAGATGTTTTATTTAGATGTTTTGTAGCAAAACTACTAGAAAAGTAATTGAGTTCAGTGTACACTTATAAACAGTTTTTTAAACTATTCATTTAAATGCACAGATTGATTGTCCTCTAATATCTGCATTTTTTTGTCTGTCTGAACGTTATGAGCAGTAAAGTGTCTTTGGTAAATATTCTTCTTTAAAAGCAGTCATCAGTGTCATACAGTTATTCAGATGTCTTGCTTAAATGCAAATTTTTTAACAACTCGTATCAATGATGAAAACGGTTGTGGTGCTTAATGTTTTTTTTCCTATATTCAGAATAGCCTGATGAATTTAAAAGTAAAAAAAAAATTAAACTAAAAGTAGCTGGTAAATCTTCCTGTTTCATGTACTTGTAATTAATGTATAAAGCCTTGTTTATACTCGACACGTTCGATTGAGTACGAATGTGCCATCATCGCTGTGTTTGCAGAGGTTTTCTTGTTGCGTGCAACAATTTCAGCTTGCTGAGCGCACAATTTTTTTTAAAAACTCGAGCGTACAGTTCACGAGGTGCCACGTTTCATTTGAGTTGAATATTTTGAAGAGATTTTGTCTGAAACGGGTACGACGTCCATGCGTGATCATAGGGATAACCAGATGGACAATAATTATTGGATAGAAATTGCAACAGTGGGAAAGGAGGAAAGTCTTTTTGTTAAAAAGTTTAGGAAAACTTAAGATAACTGGAAAAAACTTTGATTACTGGAAAATAATATTTGAACCTATTAGTTTACAATATACTGATGCCCTGTTTTTCTCGGCTTTATTGGTAATAATGGTTTATTCTTTCCATAAAAAAAATATATATTTGTAGAGCAGCCCGTGTTCTGTTGTCAATAATATTTTAATAAACTTTAAACAGTAAAACTGTCCGAGATATGAACAAAAGCAAGTGAGCAACAAAGTTTGATTAAAAAAAAATCTTGAATGATTATAAAAATCTTTAGAATCATTGAAATAATTTATAAAAGTTATAAAAAATATATATATTATTTTAAATATCTTGAACAATGTTAATGTTTATTCGTCTGGATTTACGATGGGGTTCTTTGACCACCCCTCTAATTGTAAAGAAAATCACAAGGTATAAAAGCCTTGTCTGTTTTGTGAGGTGCGCGCAGTCAGCAGAGGTGCGTGATGTGGCATCAGGCGAAAGTATAAATCAGGCTTAATAATGACACGAGTAAATGGCATACTGGAGGGCATGAAAACAGGCTCTTCAAGCACTAGAGCTGTGTTGATAGTCACCTCCTACAGTCAACCAATTGTGCTGATTTGAACAGGCTGACTTTTGCAAGTGTGGCCTATTAACACCACACACATACACATTTACATGTGTGTGTGTGTGTGTGTGTGCGCCAGTTCCTGTGCTAAACAGACATTTAACTGACTATAAGAAACTTTGCAAGTACTTGTCAATTTACACTAACCCTAACCCCAAACTAACACACTACTTATAATCTAATGAGAGTTGATGACATGTTGATGCAATGTAACTTAAATTCAAAATAATCAAAATAAAGTGTGAGCTTTTTTTCTTATTCCTGCATTGCACCTCCATAAAAGAATCATGTGTGTAAATACAAGAATGATTGTCATAACTTATAACGATAGAGCAGGACCACATTAATAACTGACTTAAAGACTGAAGCTGCAAATCCAGCTTTAAATTACAGAAATATATGAAATGTTCAACTATATCCTATAAGAAAACAGTTTATACAGTATTGTTAAAATCAAAGAAAAGAAGCTATGGTGAGCATGAGACCAATCTCAAACATTTGGCCACCATTCATTCATTCGTTTTCTTGTTGGCTTAGTCCCTTTATTAATCCGGGGTCGCCACAGCGGAATGAACCGCCAACTTATCCAGCAAGTTTTTAAGCAGCGGATGCCCTTCCAGCCGCAACCCATCTCTGGAAAACATCCACACACACATTTAACCCATACACTACGGACAATTTAGCCTACCCAATTCACCTGTACCACATGTCTTTGGACTGTAGGGGAAACCGGAGCACCCGGAGGAAACCCACGCGAAGGCAGGGAGAACATGCAAACTCCACACAGAAACGCCAACTGAGCCGAGGTTCGAACCAGCGACGCAGTGACCTTCTTGCTGTGAGGCGACAGCACTACCTACTGCGCCACTGCCTCGCCCGTTTGGGCACAAGTGTAGATTAATTTGCTGTTAAAAACAAAAGTGAAGCACATATTAATGTAGATCTGTCTTAAATGAGGATGAAACACAAAAAGAAGTTTCTTGAAAAATGATCTAAACCTCTACGCTTTGACCCTCATAGACTTGTATTTTCTACTATGGAAGTTAGTGGTTACAGGTTTTCAGTTTTCCTCTCAATATCTTCTTCTTTGGTTTTAACATATTTAATTATTTATTTATTTAATGAATTGTATAAATTTTGTTAGTCAGATGCAAAAACAGTCCAAAAAACAACATTTATTAGAAACAGGAAT